ACGCTCAGTGTCCGAAAGAGAATTGCTTCTCAACTTATTCTTCCGATTATGGACTATTGTGATGTTGTCTACCAAAATGCACATAAATCAGATCTTGCTCCACTCAACATAGCCTACAACAGACTATGCAGATTTGTTCTTGGTTGTCCTTTTCGTACACATCACTACACAATGTATAACCAACTTAAATGGCCTTCTTTAAATGTAAGAAGACACACGCATTGGCTTCAGCTGATATTTAAATGCATTTATCTTAACTATCCCCCTTATTTAAAGCAGTATTTTGTACCTTACTCACCAATTCATCAAGTTAGACATTCTGTTCAGATGTATTTCTCTGTCCCCTCTGCAAAAAAATTGATTGGCAGAAGAGCGTTCATGTTCAAAGCCCCAACTGACTGGAATACTTTACCTGCTGCCATTAGATCTCTTGCATCATTGGGTTTATTTAAACATGCATTATCATCTCACTTTCAACTGGTCTGTACTTGTTATTAATGAAACTGATATTGATGAAACTGATTTGCTTGACCATCTCAAATTGTAATGATTGTATGCATTGCTTGAATTTTACTTAACAGACTGTATGTGGTTTGTCTTGTGTGTCATGTTTTGCATTTTGTCTTTTTGTTTATGTATGTCTATAAGTTGTTGCTATTGTCGGAACCCCCTTGAAAACGAGATGGTGCATCTCAAGGGGTTTATCCCAATCAATAAAAATGTCTATATATACTGTGCAAAGCATTGCCTGTTCCCTGGACCCGGCCATGACTATGAGGTCGTCTGGGTAAAAGAAAAACTCTCATGCCGTGGGCGCGCAGCGGTTGAAGCGCAGTGGCCACACATTTACTGAACGTGCGTGGGGATAGGGAGTAGCCGAACGGTAATCTGTTGTACTCATAGGCTATTCCCTGGAAGGCAAAACACAGACACTTTCTGTGCTCCGGAGCAATTTCCACATGAAAGTATGCGTCTTTCAGGTCGATGGTGGTCAACCAATCGCCCGGTTTGCACTAGCCCCATTAACTGTTTTTATAGTTAACATGCAGAATTTTCTGCAGGCAATGTAGCGATTCGGGCTGCTGAGATCTAGAATAGATCTGAATTCCCCTGTCTTCCTGAGAACCAGGAAGTACATGGAATGAAGACCATTTTCTCTGTGCTGAGGGTGCACAACAGACACAGCCTGTTTCTGCACCAGAGCCTGAATCTCTGCTGAGAGGAAACCAATCTCCTCCTGGGAAGACAGATTTCCTCTCGCATTCCCATAAAAGGAGGTGGGACGCTGCAAAACTGGAGTGAATAGCCCCGTTTCAGCGTCCTGTCCATCCACTTTGTTAGTACACAGCTGAGTTTCCATTCCCCATAACATTGTGTTAATGGAAAGCCCTCAGCTGTGGGGCCGCAGCTATGAAACTCTCTAGTGACCCGTTCCGCCGCAAAACTCCCCGTGAAGGGAAGATTTGCCCATGGAGGGTCGACACAAAAAGGGCCGATTATTTACTGAGGTCCCTGAACGCACCGCCGCGCGCTCCACCATAATGCTGTTTTTACCACTACGGTAAACAGCATTTAATCGGAGTCTTTATAGGCGTAGTGTGTTCTACTGAGGTCCCTGAACACACCGCCACGCGCTCTTGTGTGTGAGTGCGGGCTCCGCCATAATGCAGCCTTTACCCCTATGGAAAACTGCATTAATTGGAGTCTTTGCTCTAGGAGTAGAAATGACTACGCCTAGAGCACTATTATGTAGTAGTAGTGTGTTCTCTGACAGCAATACGCCGGCCATAATGTCCCTGCACCCGCATAGCGCCAGTAGCGTGGCGTGGGAAAAAAATTAGGGGAAGCCAATAATACGTCCTTTCTTTTGGGTCGGGGGTGTGGTGGTCAATGTAATAACGTAACCAGATGAGTAATTACAGCACCCGGTATCATTTTACACACATTTGTATCAGATGCAGGACTTACACACGCCTGTTATCTAACCGACAGGTCCGCACGCACTCTCCATCTGAAACTCTAATAAGCATTCATTCACAAACTAAATCAGGAGACCTTTAACGTTTTACGTCCGATTCGCTCCTTTTTTCCTCGCTGTGTACACAGCTCCAGTTTGGGCATTGGCCTGTCATCAGATTGTATTTCTTGTTGCTGCTGTAGCGGAAGTTTAGTACAATTATTTTTGATGAAATACTCCAAATCTCCACCCTCCATAATTGCACTTGCTTCAGTTGCTTGCTACTTTCTAACGGCGGTGAGAGTGATGCAGTGACGCTATCTATCTTCTATCGATTAGATTTATGATTCGAAAATTATAAAAGTAGGGTAGACATGTGGATATTATCCGACTGAACAAAACTTGCATTTATCTAACAGGTTCGTTTTCCAGTGACCTTATTTCGAGCTATTTTCCTAAATCCTATGGAGAACTCCCATTGCTTTTTTGTCGAGGGAAACATGAGGGAAACCGAGCGCAGCTTACTTCCGGGTTTTAGGACGCGTCACTGCAACACTAAATTGATGCGATTTGATTGGATTGTGAGGCAAGGGAAGCCAGCCGCCTCTGGCTTCCCTTGGCATGGCCCTGACCAATCACAGCTTGGCAGGGGCATCGCGTGAGCCTCATCTGATTGGTCAATCCCTCCATTTTTTTTCACCAAGGGAAGCCAGATTCGGCTTTTTCACCATAACATCTAGAGGGGCGCTGTTTGTTTCACTCTTTGTAAAATACTCAATGAGAATGGGGGAGAGACGGGCCGGCAGCAACACACAGCAAAGGAGAATTATCTAAACAAAACAAAGTGTTTTTATTTATTTATTTAAATGATAACTACAATCTGAAAAAACAGGGGAAGCCTGGCTTCCCTTGGCCTCCGGGAGAAAACGCCACTGCATAGCGCTCTCCTTTAGATAGCACTCCCTGTGGTTCATCCCTCTCATCTGCGCATGCCCACTAGCCACAGGAGCTACAGCTGGGGCAGCGGATGGGGAATTTGTACGGTTAACATTGTGTGTAAGTGTAGCATTTGTGGAAACAAAAGACACTCAGATTTGGATACAGATCAACCTCATTCTTATTAGAAAACGTAGTGATCTGTGCATTATACAGAGAGGAGGCGGGATTCGCCCTCTCGTCCCGGGCGGAGAGATTTTCAACCCCCGCCAGGCCAGTCAGATCCGTCAAGACGGGCAGCCCTTCCCCGTGAGTGCCGGCACGCCGGTTCCACGGGGTGGGCTGAAGAGGTGGAGGGCGCAGCGGGCACGAGATCTCCGTGCCGGCACCTCTCCCTTCGTCTCACCGTCGCGCCGCGCTCCCTCGTCTGCAGAAAAACCTGTAGAGGAGCGCGCGCTGCGGTGACTCTTCTCTCTACTGAGGTCTTTCAACGCACCGCGGCCCGCCCTCAGGGGAGGGGGGCCACGCGCGCCATCACAATGCTGTCTCTTCGAAACGGACATTATGGGAAAAAGTGGAATTGTGGAGAGAGATTACTCTTACTCTGGGATAAATGCACTCGTTCTCACTGAATGCATTTTTCCCACACACACACATCACTCTAGAACTAGAGTTTACAAACGTAAACCACCGTTCCCCTGCGGAGGTCCCTGAACGCACCGCGGACACTCACGAGGGCCGCGCGCCCACGTATTAACGCTGTATTTCCCATTCAACTGTGAAATGCATTAATCTGAGCTATTATACCAGGCAAGGTGTGTTTTCTGACAACAGCACGCCGGCAATAGCGTCTCTTGAACCCGCACAGTGCTTTGACAGCACACGGTTTATTCAACTCACGTGCACACGCCCACCTGCTGGCTCCCTATACTGGGGTTTACAGCGGGGGCGGGGAGTGTAGGACAGTGTTTCTTCCGCTGGGGATGGGCAAGAATCAGCCACGCTGCGATTACTCCTTATCCCTTGAGCAAGGAGATCGATCCATAGAGCCCTTCCGTAAACACGGGGACTCCCAGGAGATCAACACGGTCCTCTTTGGAAAAATGCCATGCGACGTGATATCCCAGGGACATCACAAGGCAGGCAGCGGCGGCTGCCCCACACACCCGCCGCCATGATCATCATTCAGGGAGAGAACAGCCCTGGGCGGTGGACTTCCATGGACGCCGGACTCGGAAGGAATGGCGAACGTATATATCCTGGTCCCCCAAACACTCGAAGCAGAGGTGGTGGGGATCGGCGCCCGCTATCTTTCTTTCTCTTTCTTCCTTTCTCTCAAAAAATATGTCTCGGACTCAGTGCTAGGCTATCACCTCCGCTCGCTGAAGAGTAAAGGATGGTGGTCAGGAGGCGAGGCCTCCTTTTAGACGGAAGTGAGATGCGCACGCATTCAGGTAGGCCCGCCCCGGGGCCGGCTACGTCTATAGAAATCTTAGTAGGTGAATGCTTGCATGATAAGGTAGTACCCATACAGTCCAGTAGAGGGCGGAGCCTGTGAGAGATATAACTTATTTCTTTAACTTCTGCGTGAAGCTGAATTATTTATAATACTGACCATCCAAACCACACGAAAAGTTAGTAAAGTTATGCATGCTGGCATTTTATGGACTCTTCTTCACATTATTTTCCAGTTTTAATGCACTTCAGAATCGGTGAACTGTGTACAGATACAGTAAGTATTTTTGCCACTAGATGTCACTAGTTAATAATTGTCAACTCAGTTCATCAGACCAAAGTAAAAACGTAGCTATCAAGATGAGTGTTGAGTTTGAAGGAGCGTTTTCTTTTTGTGACACCAACATTTTTTACATGCGACAATACAATTGAATTACATTCTCACATTTGAAAAGCTAGATGTTCAGCATATTAGTTTAAACAATCCATACAATGGTTAATCCCTGATCAAACTAGTTGCATATTTCATGTTGCATTGTATTGACATATGGGTGCCATTTTGTCCAGAGAGAGAACACACAAAATAATGAAGTGGAACGGGTGAAGTCATTATCAAACCAAACAACGTTTATTTATTTGGTTGCATTTCCAGGAGTGGCCTCAAACTAAAAGGTAAAAAAGTGTTTGAAGAAGACGATTTCTGTCCAGCCGAGGCAGAGGAGGAGGATGAAGAGAAGCAGGAGGAGGAAGGAGAAAGTAAAGAAGAAGAGAAGGAGGAGAAGAAGGCAGAAGAAGGAGGACATGTAGACACTGATGAGGACTGTGAGGTTTGTCCAGGTACGGAAGCTCTTTTCTATTGACTATCATTAAGGAGCTTGAAGTTGTTATTGTCATGAAATGTATTTATGTTGTATTTGATCGTTAATGAGAAGAGTGTTTTTTATTTTCAAGCGAACAAAAGACTGTGTTAAATTCTCACCAGGCGAGTCTGCTGTTTGTTTGGCTTCTCCTGTGATTATTTTTCGCATGCACAAAAGGCCTTTTATTATGAACCTGCTAACAGTCCTTTGAATCTCTTGTTTGTAACAACAGAAACCCAGCTGAGTGACAACAATGACGACAGCACGCAAGATCTGATGATGGGAACTAGCGCTGGGGCAGCGGTGAGATTAAATACCTAAATCTACACGGCAACACTTTCGTGTTGCCGTGCAGATTTAAGAGTTTGTTTCATTAACTCTTTGGTTTTTAAACATTGTGAAAGAGACAATTGACAACAATAGCATTAAGGAGGATGTTCAGATTGGGTTCATTCACAAATCAACAACCTGACATGTTATTCCTGCTTCACCCTGATACGACAACATAGTTTACCTGGCAGGTTTTTTCAAAATACAATGTAAAGATTAACTTATTAGAAACATGTGTCTGCACAACACAGAAGAGAACCGTACAGAATACATTTAACATGACAACAGCTATTTTACCCCTTCTTCCTCTTCATATAATGACAACATTTTTTCCTATTTGGATTTTAGTCTGAGTGTAAAATGAGTCCAGAACGGCCGGAGGTCGAGGTGATTCTCCAGGTGGATTCTCCAGCCGAGGCTGAGCGGCAGGAGGAGATGGAGGTAGAAGGTACGACTCACAGACTGTTCATAAGAAGCAGATGTATTCACTTTGACATATTTTTCCTGTTTGCCTAAAATGTTGACTTTCCTTCCCCTCTCTAAGCTGTTCTCCCTACATTTCAATCATCAGGATTAAAATAATATTTTCGTTGGGTCCATTGGGTTTTGCTCCATTTTAGAGTTAAAGGTGGGGTAGGTAAGTTTCAGAAACCGGCTCGAGATACACTTTTTGTTATATTCCATGGAATGCTATTAACATCCCGATAGCAATGAATATCTGAAGTGCTTTGACAAAAAATCAATAAAAAAATGTCATCTGTGGAGGCCGTAATACTGTAAAAAGTAAGATTTTAAAAGTACTGTAAATCCAATCCGTTTAGCCGGGCCAGCTAAACGGATTGGATTGCCGCCCTGTCTGTCAGCCTTCCATCTCGTGCACGCACAAATGTATCTCGTGCCCTCATTGGGCGTGCCGTCATTGGGCGTGCATTGCAGCAGTACTTCAATGACTCGCCAGCAACAGGCGACCACTTTCACCAGTCTGCTGACGTCATGTGCGCGGTCATGTGTATTGGAGGAGGTGCTCTGTAAGGAAGTCCTAAGGAAGGGGCGGATTCTTTTCGGCTGTGTACTTTCAAATTTTAGTGCACTCGAGCCGGTTTCTGAAACTTACCTACCCCACCTTTAAATAGTGGGAAATAACAAAATATATATATTTATAATAGCACAACAAGTTAACAATATATACAGTGGTGCTACTTATTTTGAACCATGGATGTGTACTAATCTGGTTTTATAACTAAGCAGGGGCGGATCGACCAGGATGGCATGGACAGGACTGCCACCCTAAAAAATAGCCTTGCCACCCCAGTTGGCAGCTTTGTTTTGAAAGAAAAGTTGTGGCTCATTGGACATTTATGAGAGAAAATCTCTAATGTCTGAGTGCAAGTGAATGCAGCACAAGACGCGAGCCTTGTAACCCCTCCCCCGGCCCTGGCGCAATCGTGGAAATATGATTGGCGGCAATTTCATTTGAACGGGACCGCGCTAAACGAGAAGCATTCGAACAAGGAATTAGGTATTTGCGGTCTACAATGACAGAGAAGAGACTGTCAAGTTTTGCTGTACTCAGCATTGAAAACGCACTAAAGCTTTGGATGTTATAGGCAGGCCAACTTGATGCTCTGCTCACGGATGATCATAACTAACTGTTAAGATGATGACCTTGTATGTGTGTATATATTTTTTTCTTTGTGGGGGTCTGCCCACAAAAAACAGTTTTAAGTCCTGAGAAAGTCGAAATAAGACGATGTGTAAAACTACACTGCCCAGCCAAAACAAAGTAACCACTTTGATTTAACTAGGCCAGTAGGTAAGGACTTTCCACTGGATAATAACTGCAGCGATGTTTATGTTTTAGGTGAATATACGTTTTTTAACCCTAACTGATATAAAGTCAAGGTTGTAACTGTTTGCAGTAAAGTCGTGGGGCGCTGAACTGTTCTTTTGAATCTTGATATATGATAGTAATTACTTGTCTTTCAAATTTGAAGGAGGGTGAGCAAGCATCTTGAGGAACATTCATCATTAACTCCTCCAAAATGTTTTTATATATATATATATATTCAATAATAAATGAATATATGAATCATAACAGTGATTGACAGCTGATAGGAATAATATTAGGGGTGCACCGAATGGGAAATTCTTGGCCGAAACCGATACCGAAAATAGGAAACAGTTGGCCGAAAACCGAATGCCGAAAGGCCGAAAATGATTAATAGAAATATATATATATAATGTATACATTTTTTACCAATGTTGTTCAGCTACCTGATTATGGAAATAGACATGATTATGGCAAAACTTAACTTAAATAATAATCACTATTATGGGTCCATAAAACATTTATTCAGCACTTTTGAATGCATACAGTACATTTATATATGTCATGTATTATTGCTAAAAAACATGATATCGCAGTCTTAGTGTCGCCAACTCGTTTCTAATATGCAAAGACAACAAATGCGTCTATGATGTATTTTCGATCAGACGAGATCTCTCTCCCCGTCTGTGTGCGAGGGGGCGGGGCAGTTTACACACACGCAGCTGCTACATGCAGCGGAGCACACTGCGGAGATGGCGGAGAGAACGCGCTCCGAGGTGTGGTTAAACTTTACCCGTCTCGATGTGGAGAATACTTGTTACCATAAGTGCAATAAGAGTTTAGCATGTAAGCACGAGCAATTTGTCTAAACATTTATCAAAAGTGCACCGCATGCAGACGGAGGAATGTACCGGGTTCGACCGTCTTTCTAGCAGCTTTGTAGCCCCATCCACGAGTAACGTTTCCACGTCAGGTGTTATGTATGCTAGCAGCAACACACGGAGTTAACTACATGATACAAACATGGGTTAATGATTAGAGGAAACTGAGGTATTTAGTTTGTTAAAATTTCAGCTATTCTGTTTACAGTCTGTCATCAGATTATTTAATACGATTTGTTAAAGGCTCAGGGCAATCTCGATGACAAAGGTCAATGTTCCCCCCCCCCCCCTGTGAGCCAACCGCGAGCATGGTCGCCGCGTCTTTATTACATCATCACAACAACACGTTAGGTTACCAACGTAAGCCTGTTCTGACATTCGGTGATATTTTTTCCCCCGAAAGCCGAAAGGGCCTTTTTAACCATTTTCGGCCGATAATTTTCGGTGGCCGAATATTCGGTTCATCCCTAAATAATATGATTGTTAATATTATCATATTCATTTAGATAAACATCGATGAGACAGTTAATTAATGTACTTATTGCAGCAGTCAGCATAGATTTGGTACCCCTGCTGGTCTAAGAGTGAAACAAACTCATTGAGTTACAATTCATTAAATTATGTCTGCTACCTTATATATTTATATTTAAGGCTTCTCTGATGTGCCACAATAATGTCACCTAATGTTATTGAGTTAAAATATCAATATTGTGGCTTTCCAAGTTAACATTGATTGATATGACTGGGATTAAATCAGCATATACTTCTGCCAGGGGATGCCACCCCTCAAAATCTCCTGCCACCCTCTTGCCACCCCATGAATATTTTTCTAGATCTACCCCTGTAACTAAGCATGTGCTTGCTTCTTTATTTAGTCTACTCTTCTTATTTGCCTTTTTATCTGCACCGCCCTAGGGGTGTAACACTAGGGGTGTAACGGTGTTACGTCCCAACTAGGGGAAGAGGAAAGCAACATACACCATTTTGAATTGGTAATAATTATAAATAGTTTTATTGTATAATAGGTAGAACAAAATGGAAGGCACGCAGCCTGAACAAACAAAAGGGCCAAAAGGGCGTGGGTTTCAACGGGCAACCATCAAAGGAAGAACTCTAATAACGGAGCCTACTTACATACAAAGAAATAGGTACTAACGAACTAAATAGCAACAAAACAACCCTCACTATCAAAGTGGTACAGACTAACAAAAGGAGGCTGTAAGAAAACACAGCTAAGGTAGAGGACAACAGTCAAACAATACTAAACTAATCTAGGCACATCTAATCACAACAATACTGAGTATGACAAACACGGACCACACGAGTTAACCACTGTTAACAGATTTGTAGCAACTAGCGAGAGGCATCTGTTCACACAGCAGAGCCTCCCGACTGGGATTGGAGCGCGTCGGTCCCGTCAGCTCCAATCACAGTCTTCGGGGGCGGGCCAGGAGATGGTTAGCCAATGACAGCAGGGTAACCGCACAGCTCATTTACATAACACATTGAAAACAGAATTAACAGGGCCAGGGAGGCGGCGGCCGTAACAAACGGTATCCGTATTCGTCCTGAACCGTCACGGTTCATGCAGTCACACAACGAATACGCCTTTTTTTATGAGTGGGAAAAAAGTCTGTCACTTAGGGCAGTATCGACTACTTTATTTCCTCCACTGTAGGTGTCATACTGGTCCTGTCCAAGTTTCTCAATCTGGTTCAGAGTGTCAATGACTGCTGCATCTGCAAGATCTCTAGTATCCAGTACAAGAAGATCTACAATGCTCTTTTCACAGCATGGATTGCCCATGTCTTCTATAGCACCAGTTAGTGCTTTAACATCTTGTGCAAATGCCATTTGCGCATGTTTAGTCTGCTCATGGTGCCGGGTGTCAGTCTTCTTTCTCTTCTCAGTGGAGGCCTCAAACTCTCCAACCACACGTGCCATCTCGGGGCCAGACAGCATCCATCGTCGCAGAGCTGCAGGGTTCTCTGTCAGGCCTACAGCATCACTATCACCTTTCACGGAGGCATTGTTCTGCTCGTGGGCTTGGTCAATGGCAATAGCAGAGAAACTGCATGTTGTCTTCTTCACAGCCTTTCCTTTCAGAAACTGCCCATGGACATCAGGATGGTTATCTTTCAGTACAATCATGTCACGCAAGTGGACTGGTGTCCATCCGGCATAGTGGGTGTGTCCCAGAGAAAGGAACCAAGGCACACTCTTGGTCAAGGCATTTATGTAGAGTAGGAAGTCAGCCTCTCTTATTGATCGCACATAGATCATCAACTCTATTTCCAGCTACAGCATGATAGACCAGAAGTGGAACTGGGGACATGACACTACTCTTGTCCACCCGCTACCCCTCCAGGAGGTTGCCAAGTACCTTTAGTGCTGCCATCTCAATGTGAAACCCAACAAACATCACAATAAAATGATGCAGGCAGCAGCTCTTCACCCAGAAAGATATAACAATTGAAGTACTCCCCCAACATAAGCAGCATTGATTCAGCACACAAAGAGAGCTGCCTTCCAAGCTGGTCACTGCTGGGGACAGATGATGTTTGCAGCCCCTGAACTCCCATCCCCAGGTGACTGGATGCAAAAAGGGGTGCAGTGGACAATTTTCAAATGTGTCAAGGCAGCAATTCAGTGCACTGCCCTTGCTACTGTGGGGGACTGTGTTTTCAGAACTAACTCTGCATTTAGTTGAAACCCTGTATTATGTATTACATATATATTATGTAACATGTATTACTTCACCATAGGGGTGTAACGGTATCCGTATTCGTCCCGTACCGTCACGGTTCGGCACATGCAGTCACACGACAAATACACCTTTTTTTTAACGAGTGGGAAAAAGTCATTCAGGGCAGTATCCATTACACTATTTATAATCCAGGGGGCGGTATTGCGCCTAAAAGCTGTTTGCCAGCCGCCCTTAAACAACAAATGAAGAACAAGAAGAAAACACAACAAAAGGAACAAAATACAAGAAGAAGAAAAGTTAGTATGGCGATTTCAGATAACACACAGGAGCTGGAACCCACCTGCTTCTTTTAAATCAGCTGTGTGGGAACATTTCGGGTTCCCTATAGACTACAATAACGATGGAGTGCGAGTGGTGGATCGGACGAGAACGGTGTGTCGGCGATGTTAGACAGCGGTGCTAATGGTAACACACGCCAAACATGCTAAATCATATCAGAAGGCATCACCCAGATTTGCCAATCACCGGAGCCCGGCAAAAGACAGCAGCAGTTGAACAGCTTATCCCCGCTGTTTTTAAGAAGCCAATAGACATGAAAGCCGAGAGACCAAAATAAATAACGGAAGCTATTGGCATATATATTTCAACAGCAATGCGCCCTGGAAACACTTTCTTATTATTTATTATTAGGGCTGTCAGTCGATTAAAATATTTAATCGCGATTAATCACATGATTGTCCATAGTTAATCGCGATTAATCGCAAATTAATCGCACATTTTTGATCTGTTCTAAATGTACCTTAGAGGAATATTTTTCAAGTTTTTAATACTGTTATCAACATATGAGTGGACAAATATGCTTTATGCTAATGTTTATTATCATTTGAACAATGACAAATATTCTCATGAATATTAAACACAACAACCTCTGAACATTACAAATATTCGCCTCAATTCAACCTGGAACCTCTCTCATACAATAATAGTGTGTGTGTGTGTGTGTGTGTGTGTGTGTGTGTGTGTGTGTGTGTGTGTGTGTGTGTGTGTGTGTGTGTGTGTGTGTCGGCGCTATGTGCAACTCAAGGCATAGGCTCGAACGGGAGCTGCGTGGACGCTGCAATCATGTTGCGCACTATCCGTGCTGAGTGTGCTGACTTTTCGTACAATGTCCCACTGTCTGGCTACCTGCATAAAGTCAAGTGCTCGGCGCAGTTGTGGCGAAATGTCGCTCCTCTGTTTTCATTTAAACAGCTCCTTCTATCCATTAACGCAGCTAGCTAGCACCAGATGCTAACAACAACAATGCACGTAAGGTCTCTCTCTCGCTCGCTCGTGCCACACATATTCACACCCTCCCGGTCCTCCCAATAGCCAGTCGGTGCCTGCCGGTGAGCGTGGAAGTGTGGTCTGCCACAAGCGGGCGGCAGGAGCGGGGCTGTCAGCATCAGCTTGTAGATGGTATTTTAAACTCGATGCGCTCTGAATCTACGGGGCGGCCGAGGCAAAAAAATACATATGCGTTAATCGCGTTAAAATAATTAGTGGCGTTAATTTTTTTTTGCATTAACGCGTTAACTTAACAGCCCTATTTATTATGTAATATTTTCAAGACATTCTTTTTAGTTTTACAGCTTGATGAAACCTTTTTGTTTGACATCAGCCATTATAGATAATATAGCTATCTGAGTGTTTGTGATACTGTTTGTGGTTTGTTTTTCACTGTGTAATACAGTTCATTATTCAAAATGTTAGAGTTCCTTATTTTTAAACTGAAATTTGCACTACTGTTCAAAATAAATAACAACAAACCTGGAATTATGCATTTGGGACTTTCTTTTTCTTGTTGTACCGAACCATGACTCCCAAACCGAGGTACATACCGAACCGTGAATTCTGTGAACCGTTACACCCCTATGTAACACTGTAACCTTTCAAGTAAAGGATTCCTGATTTTTAAGGTACATGTCTTTAAGAAGATAATCCTTAAAATGAGTTTATGTGACTTTTTTCAGCCCCAGTGGACAAAAAGACGATCGTCCCTGTTAGCAGCAGCGATGTTGGAGGACGGCATGAAAAGAGGACAGAGGAGCTGGATCCAGATGTTGAGGAGATAAAATATCGGGTGCTTCAAAGGTCGTCGTCTCCTGAACTGGAACCTGAAGACAGAGTGGACTGTCCCATCTGTCAGAGCTCCTTCCCGCTAACGCAGATCGAGAGGCACGCTGCATACTGCGATGGAGAGGAGGGCGCGAGGAAGCCGGGAAAAAGACTGTTTCCAAGGTGACAGAAACTATATTCTGTTTAACACACAAGGTCTCTTTAAAAAAAATATATATTATATTCTGAAGCCCTCATATCAGCTTTCACTCAGGTAAATGCAGTTCAAAGGGCTTCACAGCTGGCTGACAAGGGGCTGAAGCACCCACAAAAATATATTACATTAATATTTTAGTAAATATAATAATTTATAATAATTTCTGCTGAGTCTTTTTTGTCATTGTTATTCATTTTTCTTGTGTTTATCACATTTTAAATATTGCTAGATATTCATGACATACATTTACAACAATATCACATTGACTTGCTCTTCTAATTCAAGCCCATCTGTTTAAATGTTTTACTGGTATGTCTATGATGTGCAGTAACATTTATAGTCAATGTAATCTGCAGTTTTTAGATGAAAAGGGAACAGGTTTTTTAATGCCAGAACTTCTTTATCGTCGTGTAACTGTTAACGTCTTTATTAACGATTATTAATGCTTTAAACAACCCCTTCCTCTCCTCTCTATAGTGTCATTGAAGCCTCGTAGGAAGAGACCAAGGTTAGCCGAGGCGAGTTCTGCAGAGACCGGCGAACCCTCCAACACTGGCAAGTAAGTTGGTACGACCTGTGTGTATTTACAGGGACAGCTCAGTGTTTTCAGACACGTTGTTGTTTTCTGACTGGGTTTTATTTTCCACAGGATCCAAGAGAAATGTTACATCTGTCAGAAAGCTGTTCCCCTGAGAGACTACAGCCGACACACAGAGCTCTGCATCCAGAGGCAATCCTCGAATTGTCAATCCAATGCAGCCGTAAGCACACACACACACACACACACACACACACACACACTAGGGCTGCTCAATTAATCGTATTTTAATCGCAATTACGATTATGGCTTGCAACGATTACAAAAACAACGTAATCGAAATAAAACGATTATTTTTTTATTATTATTTTTCTTTTTTACAAGTTTTTTTGTGGGTGTTTCAGTTGAATTATACTTAAAGTTCAGGGTAATCAACTGTTAAAAACATACTGTTCACATTTTTTTTCTCCAATAAATGGATGTTTTCAAAGTCAATGAATAATCGCAATTACAATTATTGACCCAAATAATCGAGATTATGATTTTTGCCATAATCGAGCAGCCCTAACACACACACACACACACACACACACACACACACACACACACACACACACACACACACACACACACACACACACACACACACACACACACACACACACACCCAGAATATGATATACAATATGATTACATTTCAATGGTTTGAGATGCAATAACATGCAACTAAAACTTTTCATGTATTGGATCTGACCAGTTTTTTGACAATATATATTTGTCATATTTCTGACCTTCAGAAGGGAAATCTGCTGTCGGCTCTGGAGAAAACAGAGAGCAGAGATTCAGGTGAGTCTGAAATTATTTCTTTTTTTTTATCATACATTTTTTATTGCAACATCTTCAATTTATAACACAGTACAGAAGACAATTCAGGTTGCACAACATTTTGGATTAATTCAATCCCATCCCTCTATCCTACATCCCACCCACACATAGCCCACCCACCCACCCACTCCATCACCCCCCCCCCCCACCAACCACCGGGACAACAATATCCTCTCAGGGATGGCATTCTTATTTGGTCAGGAGCTCCTTTAAGTTAGATATCAGATCTGTCCACATTAAAATTGTATCAGGTTTTGCATCGTTGATTCTCGCAGAGGACAGTTCAAGGTAAGAAATGTTCAAAAAAACTCTGAAGCCAGTGAGAAATTGAAATATCGTGAGGAGGTTTCCAACGTTGGACTATAATCTTTTTAGCTGCAGTCAAGCCTGTTAGCCAGATTTTGCGAGTTTTCCCCGTAAGGGAAAGGTGAGATTCATCATTTAGAAGATGTACAGCAGGTTCCATTGGTAATCTCAACTCTATTAAATCTGTAAGGGTACTAATAACCTTCCTCCAAAAGTGTAATACTGAAATTATTTCAACACTAAAAGGCTGCAGTCATGCTGACACTTGTTCAAAGTACTTGGCCACAGTGTTTTTAGCTAAATGCCTACATCAGCAAACCAACCTGCTGATGTTGGGTACATATACAGGCTATTGTTTAGAATCTTAGTTTAGCGCAGTGGTTCTCAAACTTTTTCTGTCAGGCCCCCCCTTTGGAGAAAAAAAAGGCGGGCCCCCCCAACACAAATAGTCAGGCTCAGTGGCGGCGCCAGAGATTTATTTTGGGGGTGCTGTGGGGTAGCTTGACGTTTCATAGAGGGTGCTCAAACATTTAGGGTTTCCCATTAATGTACCGGGCGCTACCGTGGAATTTTCTACTGCAACACTCCCCACGCATATACACAGGGAGACTGTTACAATGAAGGCTCGATAATCAGCTCACGGCATATAGGTGTAAGCAGGGGTAAAGTGCTATTTTTACAGGTGGTGTGTGGGCCTCACATAGGGGGGTCCGGGGGCAAGCTCCCCCGTGAAGATTTTTAAATATTGAAGTTAAATGCATTAGGGGTGTAACGGTATCCGTATTCGTCCCGTACCGTCACGGTTCAGACGTCACGGTTCGGCACATGGCGAATACGCCTTTTTTTACGAGTGGGAAAAAAGTCTGTCACTCAGGGCAGTATTACACTATATATAATCCAGGGGGCGGTATTGCGCCTAACAGCCAGCCGCCCGTAAATAACAAATGAAGAACAAGAACAAAACACAACAAAACGAACACAATACATGAAGAAGAAAAGTTAGTAGCTACGGCGAGTTCACACAACACACAGGAGCTAGAACCCACCTGCTTCTTTTAAATCAGGTGTGTGGGAACATTTCGGGTTCCCTGTGGACTACAACAATGATGGGGTGCGAGTTGTGGATCGGACGAGGACGGTGTGTCGGCGTTGTTCGACAGCGGTGCGGTATGCTGGTGGTAACGGTGGTAACACATCAAACATGCTCAATCACATCCGAGTCAGTCTCAGTCCCCAGCGAGAGGGTTTTCTCGACGGCAGGTGACATAGTTACCGCCAACAGATCTGCCCTCACTACTGACAACGTAGACAAACTCATCTTTTTGAAGAAAAACTTGAAAATAGAGTAAAGCTTGAGTACCTTTATTTAGGCATAATGGCCTCACACACTCACAAGTTAATTGCACATGTTAGACATTGCTCCTAAAGGTACAGATTTTATTTTGTTTTATATTTATCATTGTATTTATTTTCTATTTTGACAGCAGGGGCCTTTTATTGATTGTGATTTAAACACTTTCTTATTATTTATTTTAATATTTTCAAGACATTCTTTTTAGTTTTACAGCTTATTTAACCTTTTTGTTTGACATCAGCCATTATACATAATATGGCCATTGGTGTGTGTGTTACTGTTTGTGGTTTGTTTTTAACTGTTTAATACAGTTAATGATTCCAAATGTTAGAGTTCCTTATTTTCATACCAAAACTTGCACTACTGTTACAAATAAATAACAGCAAAAAAAAATTAAGCATTTGGGACTTTTTTTTGCTTTTCCTTGTTGTACCGAACCCGTACCGAACCGTGACCCCCAAACCGAGGTATGAACCGAACCGTGACTTCTGTGAACCGTTACACCCCTAAAATGCATCAATCTGGTACATTTTGAGAGCAAAATGAAGAGATCTATGGATACATCTCTCAACACCCATATGAAACAGAACTGTAAACAGATTTACTATTTCTTTATGGATATTCACTCCCCTTTTAAACTTTATTCTTTTTTTACTGTCATATAGTATTTCATACCTGTTTTTAATGTATTCTCTTATTTTTTTTATAACTATAATGATCATATAAACGAGTGCCTCGGAAATAATTGTTTACATTAATGGTGACCAAAACGTTTGAGACCCACTGAGATAACACTGAGAGAGTCCTTTAGCTCACTGAGTCTCTCAGTCTGACAGGAGAGGACTCTCCTCCACTTTGTTGTTGAAAAAACTCTTTATATCCGTTAGCGTAGCTCGCTAGCACCAGAAGCTAACAACTACGATCTCCGGTACCGGTGCGCTCTCTCTCTCTCTTTCTCGCTCGTGCACGCACACAAAATGGCTCGTTCCACACACACACAGAGCCGAGCTTTAATGAAACACAGAGACTCAGACGTAATAGTACTGTATCATATTATTTTCAATCAATAATTTTTCAAAATATGATTTTTTTATTTATTTTTATTTATTATTTTATTTTAATTTATTTTTTAAATAACCATTTTTCCCCCTGGTCTCTCGCGCCCCCCCTGTCATGCCTCTGCGCCCCCCACTTTGAGAACCACTGTGCGTGTAAGCATGCTAAACAAATTGGGCCTTTCAGTGTCTAGTTTATTTCCTCTAGCTCCATAGTAAAGGTTTTTGGTAAGAGAAACACAACCTTACTCACCTGAAGCCAGAAACTGAGTTGGAGCTTTAACTATACATTTATCAACAGAAAATGTATCTGCACACTTCTTGATAGTAAAATTATTAATCTTTTAGAGTTTTTAACCTGTAAAATGTGAGAATGTTGCTACTTCTCTCGAATGTATCCAGTTGAAAATGTAATATCTTAAAAAACAAAACGATGTGAAGGCGTCAACTTGTGGTCTACCAGGCGTTATCAAGACAAAATACAGTAATACAAAATAAAATTGTCTGATCAGTTTATAATAAAGTTGATGGCGTAGCCCTCGTTGATGACCCATAGCGAGTTCTGATTCAGAACTTTAATATTCTGGTTAACACATCAAACTTTGATCCCATGACCTTTTTGTAACTATCCGATCATTACCTACAGCGAGAACTAAAAAAGGAAAAAATCAGCAGTAAAAATCATCGGTAAAACATTTGATTTGTTTCTTATTACACTGGCTTCTTGTTGTTTCTTCACAGAGGCCGTGCCGTCTGGATCCAAACTCCCACAGAGGTAAAGACATCCTATTCAAAACAGTTTATGAATCAAGTTACATTCATCTTTTTCTTATCATATGTATGTATTGTGAATGAAGAGGGCTTGGATTACTAAACCCTTTGCACAGATTCACATATAGAGATGTTCTACCTTGTGACCTCAGAGTGGCTCTGTATGCTAAAAAGTTAAGGCCCTTTTCAAATAAAAACAAGTTCATTAGAGCCAAATAAAACAAAATGTAATGCACCTCTGTGACATTTGACTGATATAAATAAGTTGATTACTAAGATGAAAACACCAAGCCAAGATATTTATATCACCAAACCACGTTTTGAGATGTTTTGTTGTATGTTTGTTCTCTTTTAGAGAAGTCATAGACCTGCGGGATGATGATGAAGAGGAGGAGGGTGACAGTGTTTCAGTGCTCAGGATCAGTAACTCTCCCATCAGATCCTTCACTCCCATCTCAGAGGCCACCGGCTGCCTTATCGACTTCAAAAAACAGTATCGAGGGAAGAAGCCGCGCCAAAGAAGAAAATGATGACCTGACTGAAAAAACTGGTAACCAGAGCCTTAACTTAAAACCCATCAGGTTGGACGTGACATTACGACTTCCTGATGTTACATATTTATGCCGGTAACTGAATACAAACTGAGCATTTGGATGACTGATTGTGATTGTTTTTGTGCCACTAAATGTTACGTTTGTTATGTTAAAGGTGATTCAGACTACCTCTTTATGAATTGAAATATTTCCCTTTGAGTTACTTTGTACGAGTTGCTGTCTTGACAGTATGATTATTGACTACAGCATTATGTCTAACCCCCCGGAGTGTCAATCAGATACATAAAAACATGATTTTACTGGATTTCAACTTTGAATATAAAACTAAATCATTTATTGTATTCTTTGTTTCACCACTTTAGTCAAAATATCTCAACAACGATTAGATGGACTGCCATTAAACTTGTAAATGTTCTCCACAAGATGAATCTTACCATTGATGATCTTCTGAAGTTTTCTCCGGTGCCACCTGCAGGTCAAACACTCAAGTTTATGCCAGGAAAATGCAGCACAACATTCAACATATTAGCATGCTGTTGTTAACATGTAAAGGTACTAAATTGTAATCCTAAGCTAATGCAAATATTATAATGTGTTACTCTGACTTCAGATCTATGAATCACATCTGATTGATTGATTGATGGCATGGCAGTTGCCAACCTATTTTCTGTCCATTTGAAAAATGTTTTACTCTTAAGTGAGAAAGTATTCAATTATACAGAAATAATTAATTGAGTCTACATCAGAATAATTAAGGCAACACAAAATTGCAATTCATTCTGTTTCTCAGGTTGTTGGCATGCAGTTGTTAGATCCTAACGTCTCTCAACATGTTAAGAGCTCGGTCTGAAGAGTCGGAAATGTCCTAAAATGGCCACCGTATAGAAATGTATTTACGTTACAGCATGACCTTCTTTCTGCCAGGAACCTAAGGACAAGCAATACACTTTTTTTAGAGCTAAAAATAACAAAGTTGGATCGTCACTTTTTAGTTCTCTTATAAATGTTAATGACACTTGCATATAAGTATTATCAAACACAAACAACAGGAAAAGAAAAGTCCTGACTGCATTTCTTTGACAAATGCACACCTCTAAATGGATTAGAGAACGCCACTATTTGAATATTTTTTGTTGTCAAATTTTGAGATCTGTTAACACATCTTTTGGGATTCAAACGTACTACCTTAATGTCACCTGCTCTCGCTACGATTTAAACATGCAGTCCTGATGGTTTACATAATATTAACATGGTTTCTTTTTACGAATCAATTGCAATCTGTGGTAATCAAATCTGCACATAAGAGTCTCAAAAATGTCTCCCCTTTCCTATTAAATTGTTTAGATCAGAGCAGTTTGCTTCACTGCAGACCATTTTTATCACACTAAATATTTCCTGCCGAGTTGATGGATATATAATTTACTAGTTTCTTTGTGTCTTTAACTAAATGCTCTGAGTATCGGCATTGAATACTGTAACAGCACTTAAGAGTTAAAATTGGAAGTTGTTGGAAGTAAACTCAATGTAACGCACTGAACACAAGTTTGTTAATTGTAGAGATAATACAGGAGATGCTACGTGATCATTTTGTAACAGAAATGTACTTCTTTTCTTATTTTGTCTTATACACAGATAGTGTTTGTCTGAACCTTCAGTGTGCCATTGTTACATTTTACTTGCATTTCCTGTGAGACTTTGAAGCAATGTGGGGACATTCAGACTGTTTTGTAAGACTCTGTCACAATGGTGGGTTGCACCAACTGTGCCAAGGTTTAGGAGGATAAACTGTTACCAAGTCGACTTCAAATAACGGATTGAAAGACGTTTATGCCCTGAATGAAAAACATTTTATATACAATGTTACGGTCAAAAGTACACACATTATCAGCAATAAAAAAAGAGTGTCACCTTTAATGCATTTAACTGCTGCTCTTTTTTTAACTATTTACTATGGATTCTTTTTTATTAAATAAGGATTATACTTCTGGTTATTTACTCCGTTAATGGACTGATTATTAAGTGACCCTGTTACCCCTGTTTTTAATGTTTAGACAGATTCAGAACAGATTTCTTTTTTTCTTCTGAAAATCTCACTGACTTATTTCTCAGAACTAAAAAGAAATGTCACATGTGACCCTTATCCTCTTCTGTAAAAAGCTATAAATACAATAATTTATAGATTATTATGTGGTGTAAAAAGTAGTAGAAAGGTATAAAACCTCTGAGAAATGTTCAAATTTTACTGTGGAGTAGTGCGATGGTGTTCGGATCAGGGGAGCACAGGTTCAAACCCCACTGCAGTCAGCATGTCGTTGTGTCCCTGGGCAAGACGGCTTGTTTGAGACAAGCGAGACCTGCGCAGTTGCGATCAACGTCTTGCTAGTGCGTTGCATGATGGTTAGTCATTTTGTCCGACTTGCTCTGGAGGCCCGCCTACATGAGACGTTGAAATCTCGCGGGACAAAGACGCCCGCAGCCTTGAGAGCGAGGCGGGGCGAGGCGGCGCGAGGCGGCGCAGTTCCTCTCCACGGGCTGCGGAAGCGAAATGCTTGATGGGGAAACGACCATGGAAACGACTCGCTGGTATCTCGAGCTGAGCGCTCATTGGTGGTTTTTACCCCGTGCTGCTGATGAAACTCTCCAATTGTCTCAGAAAAAGTTTGTTGTTGTTTTGTGTCAGTTTTACGTCGCCACATCCATTCCCATTTTTCATCATTGTTCCACAATGTTTATCATCATGAAATTAATATCTATATATTTGATACTATACTTGCACTGCTTACCGTTTTCATACTTTATATTTTAGCATATTCATACACACTGTTCATACTGCTCACAGGCTGATATCTAGTGTATTCATACCCCTCACTGTTTATTCATCATTCAGTTCATTCTATATTTTATTCTGTCTATTGTGTACATTACTTTTCACTTTACTGCTTGTTGCACCGGTTAGAAGCTAAACTACATTTCGTTGTCTCAGTACCTGTAATATGTGCAATAACAATAAAGTTGAATCTAATCTTGAGCAGGAACAAATGTATTTACTTAGTACATATCTGACATTAACGATTAAACACATGTGTGCATTCTTTATAAATGTAAACCGAGTCAAGCCGACTCCGGAGGTGGCGGTATGCACCTTAAAGTTGTTTGCAATCCGCCAAAAAACCGAGAGAAGACGAAGCCGACTCCGAGCTGTCCGACTTCAGGCGAGCTTTTTGAGACCTCCCCCGGCTGCGATCGGCTAATCTCGTCTACTTTCGAGGCGAGCCGCAACGCGTCTCAAACAAGCCTACTGCACTTCACCCCAAATTACCCCTGTGGGGATTGTCCACAGTATTGAGTAAGTCGCTTTGGATAAAAGCGTCTAACAAGTAACATGTAATGCAGAGGTTCCATAGAGCGGTTCCCAACCTTTTTCAACTCAGGGCCCACTTAAGAATCACATTTTTTTTTTCGCAGCCCACATTCAACCATAAACAATACGAGGCTAAATAAAGTTCTGATTGGTCAATTCAGAACATGTGACACGTTGTTGATCCAGTAGTACAGACCGCTGTCAAGGACTGTAATGACCGCTAAGGAGGATCGAGAAAGAGAAAGGAAAAAAGGTTAAAAATTAAAAAATCTCAATAATGAAAATGTTTCCATACGAATCATAATGTTTTGCAAATTATTTGGCGGCAAATATTACATTTACATTTACACCCTTTAATATTGTATTTGGTCATCTCCTATATGTTATTGTTATGTCCATGTTTCTGTCTTTAGCCTGTACAAAAATAATAATATTTTGGCAGCCCACTTAGCCCAACCTAGGGGCCGCGGCTCACAGGTTGGGAACCGCTGATGTAATGTCTTATAGAAGGTATAAGTAAAAAGTAAGAAATAGCCTATACATTATAAAATGACATGGAAAAGAATGCGTTTTATCTGAAGGACATTACTTGAGTAAACCAGTGTGATAAACAGTATTTTTGTAAGGAAAGGAGGACGTTTGCAAACTTATTTCTAAGCAGAGATAATGACTACTAATGTAAGGTGGAACTATTTTGTGTAAAATGATAGCGCTCCTCGTGCGCCTTTACCCACAGGGACACCTGCCTCTGCACATGAAACGAGCACTCCTTAATTTCCTTTTGGGTTCACCAGCACCACACGGTGTCCTCTCGGCCAACTTCGGCTCTGGTCACCTTCAGTTTCGGTTTGTTCCGTGAAATCAGCTGTTTCGATCCGTGCGTAAAACCTGACTCACCCGGACATCCTCCATCTGTCAGCTCACAGCACACACTGCGCTTCTTCACGTTGCGACATCATTAACTCTGCAGATGAAGTGGGTGGAAACTTTTATACATACAGTCTGTGGTGTGAACGCAAGCCGAGTTATTTCTCTCTTGTCTTATTCTCTGAGGAAGTTCATTTCTGAACATTTCTGTCTCTCGGACGACACACAGGTAAGTTACTTTTCACTTGTTTTGTGCGAAAAATAAACACCAGGTTTTGAAACAGAGTTGAATTTTCCACAATATTATTGTGACTTTTCTAATGTTGGCCCTGTATCTATTACCTTTTTTTAAAGCCTCACTTATGTATAGTGGGTCACACTTTTAGACCAACGTTACATGTGATAATCACTGTAGCCTACCTATTAGATGTGCTGTTAAAAGTTGTCAAACAGGTTGCTATTTAAAGTTTTTCCACACGCCATTCTCATTATTTTTGTTTAATTAGGATTTTAACAAAATTCTTGGTAAAAATGTTCATCTTTCTTTTCTCAAACTGTGATTTGACGCCAATAGTCTTTGTTTTCCTTTTAATGACACCCAAGCCAGCCCCTAAACCCCAGATCATGAACGACTAAGCTTTATTAAGTGACTTTTCAAAGTAATGTGGCTCGATTTATTAGCTTGTTTAAATTCTCATAAAATGTTTCTTAAATTGGGTCACCTTTTTCTACTGCTGTTAGTGACATGGAAAGTAAAACCTTGAGTCAGGTTAACTTTACATGTGATGATCCCAGTTCAAGCTATTCTAAAGACTACATTTCAACCTGTTATTTCGATTATTGGCTAATAAAGCTAATAATGTGTTATGTTCTTTTCCTGCTCAGGTGACGAGGCATTGCTGAAATACCACCTCTAAAAATAAACTGCATCCAGGTAGAAGAAAAGTGAGTGTTCAAGGTTTTCATTCTTGCTAACAGTGACTGTGACACACTTGAGGAATGCAGACCTATACTCTGACCTTAAAATAAAAAACCAGTGGAGTTAAAGGTACGGTAGGTAATTCACTTCAGAAACACTTTTTGTTATATTCCATGGAATGCTCTTAACATCCCGATAGCAATGAATAAATGTAATGCGTTGACAATAAATATATACAAATATTTCATCTGTGGAAGCCGTGGCGCTGTAAAACACAATTATAATAGGCGGATAATTGGACTTGGCCTACCCGCCTGTCAGCATTCCATCTCGTGCACAAACTTATCTCGTGCCCTCATTGGTCATGTGCGCGTTTGTGTGTGTTGGAGGAGGGGCTCTGTAAGGAAGTCTGAAGGAAGAGGCATATGTTTTTCGGTTGTGTACTTTCAAATTCTAGCTTACTCGAGCTGGGTTCTCCATTCTTACTACATTTCATGTGATATTATCTTGATATTATCTTCAGGGTGCACTTCTCCCTAAAAGCTAACCAAAGGTAATCCAAAGTGATGTCATCAGCCGGAGCCTCCCCTGAGGTCAGAGATGCTAAATCTTTCGTGAATCTTCCTCAGGGTGTGTCAGGGTTTCAGTGACGTTGCTGGAACAAGTATTCTAACTAAGTACTAAGTACTGCATCACAAATGGTACTTAATTTTTTTTTATTTAATAACAATTAGGAATATGTACTTAAAGTATTCGGAGTAAAGTCATTGCAAAAAAACCTCTAAATACATTTAAATACATAACAAATATTTTAAAGCAAAAGCAGCAAAACTTCACATTTAAGAAGTAACATATTTTTGAACATAAAATGTTAACTACTTGAGTAAATGTACTCTCCATCTCCATGTTACTTTCCATCACTGTACTGGAGTAAGTTACTTTATTTCAGATCTGTAATTCTATATCTCTAAATCTGTCATGTAACTGTGGACTTCCCAATCCGAGCCTTTTAGTATTTAGTATGCTGATACCTATTCTGATCTGTTATGTGTGCTTTAATGTTGTTTAATTGCCTATGTGACGCATTCAAAAAGATAGCTGAAGCTCCTTTTTCACAAGATATTGAAGATGTTTGTTAAAAAAGTATACGGTTAATGTTAAACTATTGATATTTTATGAATGGATGTAGTGTACAGTGACTTCTAACAACTTGTCGGCCTGCTGCCGGTGCAAACTGAGAATAGAAGCTGAGTTTGTTAAATCAAAGCAAAGGGCTGAAAGAAGCTAAAACTCTCCTTAAAGCTGAGTTGAGCTGCAATCTACTGTAAAATAAACCCTTAATAGTTGTGTAGGCAGAACTTATTGTGAGGATTTCCCTTTTCTGAAAGAAATAAGGCAAAACATTTATAAAAAGTGATCGAATTGGAATTGCTGGAGGCCTGTTAGCTGTTCTATTTATAAAAAAACTATTATTATTTTCTCTGATTAATGGAAAAAAGGTCTGGTATTTAAGGCCACTAAATTAATACTTTTACAACTGGTTTAAATAAATTCATACTCTTAATTGAACTAATGCTGTGTTGTTTGGTTGAGTTCAGGAGTTCAATGAGGATGTTAGAAGCAGATTTCCTCAGACAGTATTGAGCCCTTTTTACCGTGTGACTCCTCACTTTAGTATCTAGCCAAGATCAAAAGTGAAAGCTCAGTTCCCAAGATAGAAATCTCATTTAAAAGATAACCTCACATGACGATATCTACATTACAACTTTCTCTCTATTCGTACCCCACTTGTGTGTTTTGTTAGCACACTGGTTAAAGTAACCCTTAAAATGTACTTTTTTTACATTCTCCTTTGTATTTGTTATTCGTTTATGGACTCTAAAAGTCAAACGGGACTTGTTCCCCTTTTTATGTCACATTACAGTTTGGGAACCTGATACTGTAAAGCAACGTGATCTATGATGTAATAATAGCTGTTGTTACTGTCAATTTGTTTCAGAGTTAAAATGTATTTGCAGTATTAAATTATAAACCTATAGTTACCAGTATAATAGTGGTGCAATTTCTGGTTAGGAAATATGATTGATTGCACATGAAGCCACCGTCTAAACGGTCTTTTGTAACAATCCACATCTTAAACTTGATCCCTTACATCAAAAAGAAACTACTTAGATTTACAAATTACATGGTTTAGATTCCTTTAGCAAAATGTTTCATGTCTTTATCAAGGAAATGATCAGTTATTATTGTTGATTAATTCCATGCTTATTGAGTGTCACCATGACTGAACTTGATGTGAACAGCGTTGGTTTTGCAGGTATTTGACCATAAAATTGAATCAAAATATGAAAATATAAATGTCTGATTCACATTTCATGACTATCAAATCAAGATATTACAATTTAGACCAAAACAGTTTAAGCTGTTAGAAAAAAAGTCAGAAGATGACCAAAGTCATTATCGGCTTCATCATCGTGAAAACATGAATATCTGTGCTAAAGTTCATGGCAACCATTCAATATTTCCTGAGATATTTTCAGTCTGCTTGAAAGTCAAATCAACATTGTTATCTGCCAGAATAATAGAAATACAATCGTCATAATGCTTGGCAGTTTTTAAAGGACAATGACAAAGCATAGAGTCCAGCACTGCAGGTTTACAGCTGATTTTGGTATCGGCTCTAAAGCCAATATTGATTAAAGGTTAGTCCACACAAAGCTGTGAAAGCATGACAAATATTTGAGCATCATTTTAGACCGCAATCACCATGTGAAAGCATCTGTAATAACAGTCCCCAGACTGTAATTGTCCTCTAGTGTACTGTAAATATCTCACGTTTATACTGTTTTATAGGAGTATTACTTGTAGTGTGTGTTGGATTGCCAGAAGGTAGATAATAGGCTTATCTTGTAAAAACTGTAGGAGCATATTTAAGTACACACTGTCAAATTATTTCTTATTGTTGTGGTGGGTAACTGTCACGATCTGTCTGTGTTGTGTTTTGTCTTGTCTAGATCTGTCTTTGGTTTTCTGTCTGCGTTGTGTCTTGTCTAGATCTGTCTTTGGTTTTCTGTCTGCGTTGTGTTTTGTCTTGTCTAGATCTGTCTTTGGTTTTCTGTCTGCGTTGTGTTTTGTCTTGTTGAGATCTGTCTGTGGTTCCCTGTCAGTTTCCCTGGTGTGTCTAATTTACCCGATTGTGTTCATCTGGTGTCCCTGTGTTTTCTCCTCCCTCCTCACCTGTGTCTTGTTTGTATGATTAGTCTTGTGTGTATTTAAGTTCTGGTTTTTCTGTCTGTCTTTGTCGGTTCGTCTTGTGATATGGCTTGTTCCTCGGTGAGTGTTCTGTTTAGTCTTTATTTAATAGTATAGCCTTGAAATAAAGGAGTTTTTTTTTTGTCACTTTAATCTGCATTTGGGTCCTGCTTCCTACACACATCGTAACAGTACGAACCGACCAAGAAATGGACCCAGCAGATGATCCATTTGAGGTGGAACGACAACATTTTTCCTTTTATTTGGCTTGCTGCTATAATTGGTGGAAGGGAGCGTCCAGTGTTCTGCAGAAGGAGGCCGCTCTGGTAGAGGCGCACCGGTTGGCTATGGAGAAACCAGACTTGGTGAGATTCTTATCTGGCTGGATTTTGAACTTCCTCTGGGTGTGTGATTTCCAGCCTGCTGACTACAAAAGTCTCGGTGTGTTCCGTCTGGAGTCAACCAGTGCTTCTGCCCCAGTTCCTGCTCCTGTCCAGGAGTCGTTTTCTGGAACTCGTCTGGCTTTTGGAGGTCCACGGAGCCTTCAGGCGGCTTCTAAGAGAAGGAGTCGCAAGTCCAGGCTAGCAGCCCGAGCCCCAAGAGCCATGATTCCGGTCCCAGTTCTGGCCCCAGCGGCCATGGTTCCGGCCCCAGCAGCAATGGTTCCGGCTCCAGAACCGGTCCCCACAGCCATGGTCCCTGCTACAGAACCGGCCCACACAGCCATGGCCCCACTCCTGGCCCCAGCAGCCATGGCTCCGGCCCCAGTAGCCATGGTTCCGGCTTCAGTACCGGCCCCCAATAGCCATGGTCCCAACTCCAGTTTCGGCTCCAGGACTGGCTCTCCGGCCGACGCCAGCTCCCCGTGTCCTGTCGGCGTACCGGCCGACTCCAGCACCTCGTTTCCTGTTGGCTCTCCAGCCGACGCCAGCTCCCCGAGTCCTGTTGGCGTAACGGCCAACGCCAGTTCCCCGAGGCCTGTCGGCGTACCGGCCAACTCGAGCTCCTCGTCTCCTGTTGGCTCTCCAGCCGACGCCAGCTCCCCGTGTCCTGTCGGCGTACCGACCGACACAAGTCCCCTCTCAAGTTCCCTCTCAAGTCTCCTCTCAGGTCCCCTGTTGAGTCTCTTCTCGAGTCCCCTCTCAAGACTCCTCTCAAGTCCCCTCTCGAGTCCCCTCTTCTCGAGTCCCCTCTCAAGACTCCTCTCAAGTACCATCTCGAGTCACCTCCCGAGTTCCCTCTCGAGTCACCTCCCGAGTTCCCTCTCGAGTCACCTCCCGAGTTCCCTCTCGAGTTCCCTCTCGAGTCCCCTCTCGAGTTCCCTCTCGAGTCCCCTCTCGAGTTCCCTCTCGAGTCCCCTCTCCAGTCTCCTCTCGAGTCCCCTCTCCAGTCTCCTCTCGAGTCCCCTCTCGAGTTCCCTCTCGAGTCTCCTCTCGAGTCATCTCTCGAGTCTCCTCTCGAGTCCCATTTCAAGACAATTCTCAAGTCACCTCCAGAGTTCCCTCTCGAGTCTCCTCTCGAGTCACCTCTCGAGTTCCCTCTCGAGTCACCTCTCGAGTCACCTCTCGAGTTCCCTCTCGAGTCACCTCTCGAGTCACCTCTCGAGTCTCCTCTCGAGTCTCCTCTCGAGTTCCCTCTCGAGTTCCCTCTCAAGTCCCTACCCAATGTCCTGGTCCGTTGGAGGTTCCGCTGGGGGTCCTGCCAACCCTGTGTCCCGTGCCGTTGGAGGCCCCGCCGTCTACTCTCCTTCCGGGGGTCCTGCCAACCCTGTGTC